AAAATTGTAAGAAATAGGAACAAAATATTTGTGAGAAAAATCTACCTGGCAGAGAGCTTTTCAAACTCAATATTTTTATTTGTTCCTACTTGCTTGAGTCAAACTGTTTGTGACATGAGCAATTGGGGCGGCCGTCCGAACTCGATATGGTCACTATGAATTTCTAGTAATGTCCTTTGGTTTGACTAATGCTCTGGCGGCATTCATGGACTTAATGAATAGAGAGTTCCAACAATATCTTGACATGTTTGTGGTAGTGTTTATCGATGATATTTTGATCTATTCAAGGAGTGAGAATGAGCATGTTGACATTTTGAGAATTGTATTGCAAGTTCTTAAGGACCATCAATTTTTTGCGATGTTTAGCAAGTATGAGTTTTGGCTAAGGACCGTAGCATTCCTTGGTCATATTGTGTCAAGCAAGGGTATTGAGGTAGATCCTAAGATGACAGAAGCAGTCAAGAGTTGGCCTAGACCTCTAACTCCTTCGGATATTAGAATCTTTTTGGGTTCGGTCAGTTACAATAGGAGGTTTGTCAAGGGGTTTTCCTCCATTGCTTCTCCGTTGAAGGCTTTGACTCTAAAGAAGGCTAAGTTTGAGTGGTCGGAAGCTTGTGAGAAAAGTTTTGAGGAATTGAAAGATAGACTTACTTCTGCTTCGATTTTGACCTTACCGCTGGGTACGGATGGTTTGGTAGTGTATTGTGATGTCTCTAGAGTTGGGTTAGGATGTGTACTTATGAAAAATGGTAAGGTGATTTCCTATGCTTCAATGCAACTTAAAGTCCATGAGAAGAATTATCCTACCCATGACCTTGAGTTAGCGGCGGTTGTGTTTGCCTTAAAAATATGGAGGAATTATTTATATGGGGTGCACGTTGATATGTTTACCTATCACAAGAGCTTACAATATGTGTTTAGTAAATAGGACTTGAATCTTCGTCAACGAAGGTGTTCAGAGTTATTGAAGGACTATGACATGAGTGTCCTTTATCACCTTGGCAAAGCGAATGTGGTAGCGAATGCTCTTAGTAGATTGTCCATGGGTAATGTGGATTATGTAGAAGATGAAAAGAAAGAATTGGTTTGTGATGTGCATAGGTTGGCCCGGTTAGGTCATCGACTAGTGGATTCCACCAAGGGTGGCGTCATAGTCCATAATGGTTCTGAATCACTCTTTGTGATGGATGTGAAGTTTAGGCAAGACCTTGATCCTATATTAGTTGAGGTGAAAGAGTCGGTACTCAAAAAGTCCGTTGAGGCTTTCTCCCAAAGGGGAGATGGGGTACTTAGGTACCAAGGTCGGTTATGTGTTCCAAACGTAGATGGCTTAAGGGAGCAAATTTTAGAGGAAGGTCATAGCTATCGGTATTCTATTCATCCGGGAGCCACCAAGAGGTACCGTGATCTACGAGAAGTCTATTGGTGGAATGGTATGAAGAGAGATATTGCGGGATTCGTAGCCAAATGTACTAATTGTCAACAAGTTAAGGTTGAGCATCAAAGGCCGGGAGGCTGATCCCAAGATATACTGATTCCCACTTGGATGTGGGAAGATGTGTATATGGATTTTATTGTGGGCTTGCCTTGCACCCGAAGGCAACATGAATCCATTTGGGTCATTAAAGATCGGAAGACAAAAATACCCCACTTCATTCCTTTCAAGGTTTCCTTTTCGGCGGAAGACTATACCAAGTTGTAAGTAATAGAGATAGTGAAATTGCATGGGGTTCCTTTATCTATTATTACGGATCAGGGTCCTCAATTTACTTCACAGTTTTGGAAATCATACCAAAAAGGGGTTGGTACTAAGGTTAAGTTTAGCATGACTTTTCACCCCCAAACTGATGGGCAAGCGGAGCATACCATCAAAATATTAGAAGATATGTTAAGGGCATGTGTTATAGACTTCAAAGGTAATAGGGATGACCACATGCCATTAATAGAGTTTTCCTACAATAATAGTTATCACTCAAGTATCGGTATGGCTCCTTTTGAAGCTTTGTATGGTAGGAGATATAGGTCTCCAGTTGGTTGGTTTGAGGTAGGTGAAATGGCTCTTATTGGTCCCGAATTGGTTTACGAAGCTATTGAAAAAGTCCAACTCATTAGAGAGAGGTTGAGAACGGCTTAAATGTAGACAAAAGTCTTATGCCGATGTTAGAAGAAGGAATCTAGAATTTGAAGTTAATGATTTAGTCTATTTGAAAATCTCACATATGAAAGGTGTGATGAGATTTGGCAATAAGGTAAAAATTAGTCCCCGGTATGTGGTCCCATACCAAATTTTAAAACATGTTGGGAAAGTTGCCTATGAGTTAGATTTGCCAAATGAGTTGGCTCTGGTGCATCCGATATTTCATGTTTCCATTCTCAAGAAGTGTATTGGAGATCCAACATCCATTATCCCCTTAGAAGGGTTAGGGATTGATGAGAGTCTTTCATACGAGGAAGTTCCGGTAGAAATCCTAGATCGGCAAGTTAAAAGGTTGAGAAACAAGGAAATAGCTTCCGTGAAGGTTAATGGAGAAATCATCTAGTTGAGGGTACTACTTGGGAGGCCGAGGCTGATATGAAGTCCCGATACCCTCATCTCTTTCCTTCTACTCCTATACAAGCTTGAGGTAAGTAGTTCCTCTTGAGATTTAGTGTTTTGGAGTCATGTGTGTTACAAGTGTTTTTTCACATGATTTCCCTATGCTATGAATATTTTTGATGAAATTCATGTTTAGTAAGAAAATGAGTTTACATGATTTATGTGTTCCTTGTGTTGTTTTGCATGTAGTATAAGTTGCATTTTGGATTTTATGAGATGAATAGATAAACATGCTTTAGTATGCTTTTAAGAGTAATTGCCTATTGGCTCCATGATATTGTGTGGATCATGCTTTTAGTTGGAGAAGGTAGTTCCTCCTATAATTATGAGAAATATTGAGTTTTCATGCATAATGGGTTGTTAAATGTAGCTCTTATTCCCTTATGATGCATTGAATATGTTTGAGTTGAAGTTGAAGCTTCTTCTTTTGAATTGTGCATTATTTTGAATGTTTCATGCATGATGGGCTGCTAGTCTTGAGTCTTTACTTCCGAAGGGTGTCTAGATTGTCATTCGAGGATAAATGTTCCGAAATGGGAGATAATGCAACATTACGAAAAACTAGTAGGCTAAACTAGAGCTTGATGTGAGGGTTAGAGTCGTAAACGACTCCCGGTACTCATATTATGTTTTTGAATTAAAAAATCAAGGTACGACCCCCCAAGGACCAACCATGGGTCCTTGAGGAGGACCCTTCAAAAGGCGACAAAAATTTTGCCTGGGCAATCCACCCACCAAGGGGAACCACGACCAGTAGGTGGACCCACACCTCGTGGGTGAGGGAAGTGGGTCAACGCCCCAGGAACCATGCCCTAGAACACCTACCACGGTTCACCAGCACCGGTCGTGGGTCCTACCACCGTCCGTCAGTGGTGGGCGTGGGTGGGGCTGGGAACTGTCATTTGGCAGTTATACTTAGGGGTGTTTTGAGGATTTCCATTTTTAGTTAATGTTAAGTGATGTCGTTTTATATTATATTAGAACACCTATATAAAGATTTTAAGTCAATAAATTAAGTCATCTTTCTCATAATTCCAAATTTCCAAAAGAAAAACCCAAACTCTCTCCAAAAAAATCCTCTCTCTAGAACTCCAAGGAAGAAGAAGAAGAAGAAGAAGAAGAAAGGTGAAGCTAGGGTTGAAGGAGCAAGATTTTCTTCTCAATTTCGTGGGGATTCATCACCAAGGTATGGTAGCTCTTCATCCATGGAGCCCATCCAAAACCCCAAATTTAAAAGCTAGAAATCCCAAAAGTGAGGTTTTAACTTGAATCTCATGGATCCCTTTCAAATTCGTTTTAATGATTGAATTATGTTTGTTTATGGAGATAATGATGATTTTATATGCTTTTAAGTTGAATTCCACATGAATCCATGAATTCCCCTATTTTCCCAATTTGGCCCTCAAAGTGTGGGAGTTGATTGATGAGAGTAGAATATCATAGAATTATGCATGTAGTAATTAAACTACTTGAATTATGTTATCATCCATGTCTAATGTAGTAATTTTAGATGTGTTGATGAATTATGATCTATGGTCCTTGAAGGGCAATGTGTGAGGATTATGCATGATTATGAGGGTTATGTATATGCTTTAAAAACACTTTGAGCGTAAAGTGAATATTATTATGTTCTAGTTGTTGTGTGTTGGAAGGTTATCCTCATGTATACATTTATGTATGAATATGCTATGATGTGAAAGGTTTACTCACAATATGATGATTCTATGGTTGAAGGGCTATTCTAACATATTGAATCTATGAGCTATAGTATGAAATATGTTGGATTGAGTGTCAAGACATTCTTCCATGAATATGAACTAAAGTCGAGACTGAAAATGTAATCCATGGGAATTAATGCTTAGCACCGAGTGGATATGAATATGAGATGGAAGCTTTTGCCCTAGTTGAGTCCGGCTTTCCAAATGGATTCCTTCTACCTTAGTTGAGTCCGGGTTCCCAAAGGATGTATTTCATGAGATGGAAACCTTCAACCATAGTTGAGTTCGGGTTTCTTGTAGCAATCTCCTTATCCCATAACTATGTGCCCTCATAGGTATTTATCTAGTGGATCCACCTAAGCTAAGAGTATGCACTACAAGAAAATGCTTCATTAAGGACCAACATTTAGCGACGAGCTAATAATCTGGTCCCTGAAAGTACACATATAAGGACTAGTTTTTATATTGGTCCCTAATTTTCTATTTTGTTTGGTTAACTAGCGAAAGGAATTAGTTTGGTCGTCAGAATAGTACAGTTCCGGGTCCCTAATGCTCTAAATTAAGCGGGATTAAACGCGCTAATATTTTAAGCCACTAAAATGGTTTTCAGAACAGCAAAAAATTAAAGTATTTTGAACAGTTTTAATTTAAGAAATAGAAGAAAGACCCCTCAAAGTCTCTTTATTTTTTTGTTTCCCGTAAAACCCTAAACTCGTCTTTTTGTTACCAAAGCGGCGATATCTCTCTATTCTTTGGTTTTCACTGCCATTTTCTTGCCCGTTTCCTCAATCAAAGTGAAGATTTATTTCCTCCACCATTGATGTATGCCGTTATTCCGCTATGTCGGTCACTGGTTATCACAAATGCAAAGCTTTTCTTCTTGGTTAGTGCATTTTCTTTTGGTGTTTTTGATTTTTTGTTTACAGAATCATAATTTGCTTGTCCTATAGCAGCTAGTATGTATAGGTTGTTTAATTTGGTCCAACTAGATTAATCTCTTTATTGAGGTAACTTAATATATTTTTTAGGGTATTCCTAAAGTTAGATTTCATGTTAAAGTTTGGTTTTTTAATCACCCTATTTTTTAATAATTCTGGTTGCAGATGAACAAAACCTCAAATGGATGAAAGAGTAACACCTATGAATCTGCACGAAAAGCACCCATATCTTGTTCAAATCAAGTCCTGTAAAATTGCTTCTATTAAGCATTTTATTGGCATGTTAAAAGGTATATTTTAAGTACAATTGAAGTATATACTGTTATTCACACTGCTTTATTTTTCTCTTGTGTGCAAATAAGTAATATCCGAACTTCCGAATAGAAATAGGTTGTTTATGGAGGATTAGTGGCCTGGTAGCATATTCCATTAATTGCACCTGCTAAGGCTCTAAGAGTTTTACAAAAACAGAGGCAGATGATGATATGGTGTTAGACTATTGAACGAATATACATAATAATGACGATTTACATTTATTTAAAAAACAAAAATAGAAAGATTTATTTTTGGATGAAAGACGAATAAATGAACTAGGATTCTAAGATGTAACGGTGACTCCTCTAGGGATATGGGTTGGGTGACGATGTGAAACATGGTAATGAAATCATAACACAAAAGGTTGTCATAAATCATAAGATATAAGTCATTTTTGATGAAGGATCTGAATTAGATTTTTGAATTTTGGACAACATGAATGAATAACAAGACTCAGTACTTAGCTAGTTGTATTTTCTCTTCGAACAGTCGTTTTGTAATAGTCTGTGAACTGTAATGATGACTTTGATCATAAGTTTACTCTATGCCTGGTAGTAAAAGATATAGTGAGTGAAAAATCCTTGTTAATACTTTCTATATACTATATACAACACAAAACAAGTCATTCAATGAATGATAATGTATTATACGGTGCGAATAAGATGTAGCACATCTATACTAGTACCATCTTTATTGCAGCTTCTGTGATATCTTATACTACTATACAAAGATTATCACAATAGATGTATGGATAGATTCCCATAAGAATTATATATGGCTTTATACTAGCTTTTTTATTTTATAATTCATGTGTATTTTTTATTATTATTATATTATATGAATTTGGTCCTTTCCTTGTGTGCTATTTGTTTATTAAAGCCAAGTATATCTGAAGTTTTGTTTTGATACTGAGATTTGTTTACTGTTACTCTTAACAAAAGGGCTCATTTATATGCTGTCTTGATTATTATGCCATTGGATAAATGTTTGAACCCTCTGAAGACTTACTGCATGATCAGTAATGGAGTTTTGCTAGAGATACTAAACATGCCATTTTATCAAGTTTGATTTTCTTTTTTATCTTTTCCAAACACCACAAAAAATGGAAAAAGAGCTTAAAATTCAAAAACACTTAAAATAAGTCAATTCAAACACCCTCTAAATAGAATAAGTCCATTACAATATGGAGTCTTATTGAACTCAGGTATTACTAAATGAATTTAAAGAACTACTGAACCAGAAAAATTAAGTTATACAAATATTTATTTCATACAGAACTTGAACAGTTGATTAGCAGTTGAAAAATTCTCACTAGTATCTTGAAGTTTTAATTTGTTCTAACAAACCAGCAACCTTTTTTTATTTGTTGTTTTTGTCTATTTCATAATTGATAACCTTCATATTTATGAAAAATCAAGTGAAAATTTTATTCTTCTCTAGACTATTTTATAATTATTTGTCTCTAGAATGACATTCTTGAATATGATGTTCATGTGTTTATATGCTTCGCATCACGTTTACAAGGTTGGAATATTCATGTACTCCTCAATTATGGGTGTTCTTCAGAGAAAACAAATCACTGAGTTCTTTTCTTCTGAAATTTGATTCTAGTGCAACGATGGAGTCATTATTTAGCTTATGAGCTTTGGGAATGTATAACTATTGGTTGAAATGCTGCTTCATAATGTCTTTTAAGACATTAGAATATACACCCCGCTAATTTTTACTTTCTCACACAAAACCTCCCTTCTTCTCGCCTTTTTTATTTATTTATTTTATACTTCAAAAAAGTTTTTATTGTGAAACTCATTCTCCACGTTTATTTTCTTATATATATATAACATTTGATTGTGTATGTTATGCCATTCATCTTTATTGTTATTCATTTGCCTTAGGAGAAGAGCTTTGGTTCTATGAACAAATAAACTAAGAGAAGCTTTAATGGTAGGAAGAATGAAACAAGTATAAGATGTTCTCCTTCATAATTATGAAAAAATGAATATCCTATCGAAATTTTTAAAACTAAATAAAAGCTCACATAAAGTTGTTTATCATTCATCTCAAGTTTTCTCTGCAACTAGGATGTTGTGCTTTCTCATATCAAAATCAATTAGAACATCTTTGATTTGAATTATAGTATTGATGTTGATTACTCAGATAAGTTACTGTTCTAGAATTAAAAAAATTATCACCTCTATATACATGTTTTTCCTAATCGTCATTGTTTGTATTCTTGCAGCCCCTTCTTGTTGGTGTTTAATTTTTGAAGTATATACACTTATCATTTCTGAATTTAAACTTTATTCTGGTAAGCGTCTAAGCCACTGCTAAACTTGTATTAATAGAGTAAGTTTTTAACAGTTTTTTTAATTCGAACTTTATAGTTTTTCTAAAGAGAAATTATGTCTACATTTTTTCAGGGTTTGAGGATTTTCAAGAGATGCAAGATTTGAAGACTTTGCAAGTTAACAAATTGACTATTATTTAGCTAGGGACTATTGGAAAATACAATATATTTTTAATAGATGCTATGTTCTTTTCTTAGAAAAAGTATAAACAACGTTGTGATACTGGTGTTTTGTCTATATAATATATGAAAGCATCCTATTATTTATAATTTTTTTCTATGTGCATTTGATTATGTGTATTGAAAATAGATCAATTAAAGAGCACATATAAATTCACGGACCACATATATGGTCCCTAAAACACCTGTAAGGGTGTAAGGATCAAAATATTTTGGTTGATTTCTAGTCTGTTAGGAACAAGCAGAACTGGTCTTAAAAAAGGTATTAGTCACCACATGATTTATGTTTAGGCACCAGAAATGCAGTCCCTAAAAGTGTTTAGGGACTAGAATTTTTTCAGTCGCAAAATCATTTTAAGGACCAGAAAGTTATACTGGTCGCTATTCACTTATAGTGACCAGATATTTTTGGTCGCAAATGACTTTTAGGGACTATTTTTCCGTCCCTAGAGGCATTTTTTCTTGGAGTGATGGTTCTACCTTAGGCAAGTAGGACAACCCCTTTTCGGTGTGGGGTAGACACCGAATTCCATGATAAGCTCACATAGTCAATGTCGTTTATGGCTTATTCCCTATTATGATAGTATAAACAAGAAGATGAGTTATGAAATATAGTTACTCAAGAAGCTTTACTTAGTATGGCTGGGATTATGGGATCTAATCCATGCATTGTACAAGTATGCTTTAAGGGTATTTATGATATGTCCCTCTTATGACGTGATGATTTATGAGTTGATTATGCTTATGACTTATGTTTCTCTATTATCTTCCAAATGATGCTTTAACTTAGCAAATTGCTTACATTCAACTAAAATGTCCCTTTTTAGCATGTTTTCATGATTTTTATACTTGTCTATCATACTTATTGCATTTTTGTACTAACCCATATTTTTCCTACATTTTCCATAAGAGTAGGGTCGGGTGTTTGAGGTGATCTTCATTTGGTTCAAGCTTGTATTCAACCATTCTCCTTGATTGTGGTAAGCCCTCATGATTTTAGGACGGGTGTTTCATTTGTTGTTCCTTTCTTGTATTTCCTTTTCGGATTGTATTGTATGGGTTGTGACCCTATTTGATTCGAATATTGTAATATATGGCTATATTGAGACAAGTCTAGACTTCCGCCTTCCCTTATGAAAATTTTGGACTTGAAATGTGTTTTACTCTTTATTGTTCTTTACTTATGTTATGATATGCTAAGTGGCTTACATGGTTCCTTTTGGGGTTCTATGTGCCTTGTTACATCTAGGGGGTACCCTTGGGTCATGACAAATGTGCTCTATCATCCGGGTAAGGCCAATGTAGTGGTTTACGCCCTCAACAGACTATCCTGGGTAGTGTTGCATATGTTGAGGAAGAGAAGAAACAATTAGCCGAAGATGTTCACTGGCTTGCTCGCTTAGGATTTTGCCTTATGCACACGTCACATGGTGGTGTGATAGTTTAGAATGGGTCAACATTTTTATTGGAAGAGGAGGTTAAGGAAAAATAGGATAGCTTATGTTATCACCTACCTCTCATAAAGTTCGTTTATCATAACAATTTTCATTTCCGTATTCGGATGGCCCTTTATGAGGCATTATATGGGCGTAGATGCAGATCTCCCATTGGTTGGTTTGAAGTAGGTTAAGAAACCTTCATTGAGCCAGATTTGATTCGTGAGACTATGGAGAAGTTCACCTTATCAGAGATAGACTAAAGACAACTCATAGTCGTCAGAAGTCCTATACAAATGTGAGAAGAAAGGACTTAGAGTTTGAGATTGATGATTGGGTTTTCCTGAAGGTGTCACCTATGAAGGGGTGATGAGATTTGGAAAGAAAGGGAAGCTTAGCCCTAGGTATGTAGGTCCTTACAGAATCCTTAAAATGGTTGGTAATGTGGCTTATGAGTTAAAGCTACCAACGGAACTAGTAGTGCTTCATCCAGTCTTTCACATTTCCTTGTTGAAGAAGTGTGTGGGTGATCTGACATCGATAGTACCTTTAGATAGTGTGGCTGTGAAGGATAGCCTCACCTTTGAGGAGATTTCGGTTGATATTCTTGACCGTTAGGTTGGTAGGTTGAGAAATAAGGATGTCCTTTCAATAAAGGTTTAGTGGAGGAGTCAGTCCATAGAGGGAGCTACTTGGGAAGGAGAAGCAGCCATGATGGCCAAGTATCATCACCTCTTTCCATCCGATTCAGCTTCAGCTTGAGATAATAGTTCCTCTCCAGTCTTTCTGTTAATCTTGTGTAAATTCAGTCTCAGTATCCCATCCCCTCATTTATCATTGAATTTCAGCATATTTGCATGGTCATGGAACTACATTCAGTTAGATGTCAGTTTTTAATACTCAGTTGGTAGGGATTTTAACTTTTTCCTCCAAACTTAACTTACTTAGACTACATTCGAGGATGAATGATCCCAAGGGGGATATAATGTAACACCTCAAAAATAAGAACTAAGGTTGAACAAGAAAAAAAGGGAAAACCACGGAGGGATCCACGCGCCTTAAAGGGAACAACGACTCATCACCCAACTCGTTCTTGTGCAGCCTTAAGTGAAGGACCAAGAACCACTTAACAGTCCGAGGAACTTCACACGGGCCGTAGGATTGACCGTGAAAATAAGGCAGAACCACCATGGCCACTGTGAGGAACAACAGACCACATGACAGTATGTGGAACTTCACACGGGATGTGGAGTGGCTCGTGAAAGAGGCTGCCAGTCCTGAGTTTTGGTCCAGTAGCAACACGACTTACTTGGCGGGCCGTGATGCTCTAGATGGTCTGTCAGTGGCCTCATGAATGGCACTTCATCAACTTTAATTCAAGGCCATTTTTTTCATTTCCTCTATGCATTGGGCACTTAAACTACGTCATTTAATGCCTAAACTATGTCGTTTTACTCAGTCTAAGACTAATAATCCAGTCAGACACTACCTAGAACCCTCATTCGCATAAATTCACCAAGATTAGAACGAAAAGAAGAGAAAGAGGCGACGGTTTTCCCTAGGAACAAGTAGAGGTATTCTTCTAATTTAGCCGTAAAATCCAAAGGATTTCTCCATAGTCTTCGTCACCAAGTATTTGGGATTTAACTAGTGGGTTCGTTTCACCTATTAGGTCCCTAAAATTTAGTCAGTTCTTTAAGTTCTCATAAATTGTTCAAACCTAAGGTTTCCAAAATCTTGCAGATTCATTGTGATATAGTTGTTATAGTTCCCGTGATTTAAATAACATGTATCTTGGTGATTTAGTGTAATTTATATGGATTGAATTAAGAACCCCAGATTGTATCACTATCAACTCAAGAATTATACTTGCTAGGCAGATTAGTCAGAAAATCATGCTTTAGAAATTGAATGTCATAACTTCAAGTATATATTTTTGCATTTCAAGATAGCATATCAGTATTTTGAGTTACACAGTATTACAGTGTATTTTAGCTTTTTATTCAATTGGGAGTAAACTTAGCACCGACTTGGTCTAGGGTTCAACGTACTATCACAAAACTAAAACTATGTGCCAACGTAGGTTTAAAACTCTCCTCTATTGGGCATCATTTTTTAGTGATCATGACACACTCATGTATTTATACCCCTAGCACGTTATCTTGGGGCCTCTTTATCAAGGTATGTTCCACATATGGTTACCGATCAGGATAATGTGTGCCTGAACCTATGATGAGTTCAAGATTTGGACTCATTTAGGGTTGTATTCATAATGATTTAGTGTCCTCAAATACTTATTTTGTGCCAATAACTGATGTAAAACCCTTGATTTCAAGGTATATGGATTGAGGAACAAAGCAAGGACACTAATGTGCAAAAAGGAACGAAGTGAGCTAAAATAATGAAGAAAAGCAAGCTTCGTGATCGCCAAGTCCACTTGGCGAATCGCCGAACGACTGCTTGACCGCCTAAAAGTTCAAGTATGCCAAGCCCTGAAGGAAAGAACCAAGTTGGCGAAAGAATGAAGCAGTCGGCGGATCGCCGAGTCATTCCGCGATGTAGAGTTGGATTGCTCAAAGTTACAGACCTTGAGGATGTTGAAGGCCAAGGTAGAAGGGTAATGGAATTGACCAAAGGGGGGATCACCGAGTGGATCACCAAACCCGACTTACTGCGCCGAGTGGCTCTTCGCAACACATTTTTTTCAACTATTTTGAACATTTAGTTTAGTATCATTATTCAATATCAATTAGAGTATCTGTGACATAATTTCTAAGTTTTGAACTGTGAGAAGTTTTCTCTAGGTTTCCTTTAGCTTTGAAGAATTGAATTTTTTCACTTTTGAGAAATTGGAAGTGGGTCCTTGAGATTCTTCAAATTGGATCATTGGAAGGATGAAATTAATCTTTACCCAGTTGATGGAAACTCAATTTGGTAACGATTTTTATCTTTTTATAATGTCTAGCTAAAACCCCATTTCTTGGGGTGTGATTATGTATTTATGGGCTGATTTAGTTTATGGGTATTGCTAATTGTTATTTTAAATGTAGTTTAGAAGTGAGTTCAATCATTAATTGGGGATTAATTTAAGAATTGTACTTGCAAATGCAGTTCTACCCTTGTGTTTTCGGCTTGCGAGAGAGAGAGGTTTTAAAACTAAGATTATTAATTGATTGTCAGTGGGTATTGGGTTGTGATGGGTTCAACTCGAGAGACTGAACCCTGAACCCAATTCCACACATTCAGCTCGAGAGAATGAATGGACTAAGGTGTGGGTTGTTCTTATTTTGGTTGCTTGTCGATGTTCGAGAAAAACTGACTTTATTCAAGGTAAATTGTTCGAGAGAAACTTTACCTCCTCTATAGTCTAGCTTACTCACTAATAGCTAGCTATTTTCTAATAGTTGCAATTACCTATTTGTCTATATTAGCCTATAATCGAATCACATCCCAAGAACCAATCTCATTATTGTTATTTCATATTGTTTGATGTTGTTGTAGTTGATAATTTCAAACCAAAACCCCCCATTTGACATTCATGTCACCCATAGATTTGAATAATGTCTTTAATCTATAATTTATATTCATATGACTAACTTGATCATGTTCACACTTTCCTATTGAATCTTAAAAACGTAC